ATGGTGTCCGCTTTAAATCTGGTCACCTTACCCTTTAGTGACATCGCTGAAGGAAAAAGAAAGTTAAACTCAGAGAGAAACTGGCTTTGTCCATTTCACTTAAAAGTCAGAATGGAGACTAAAATCCAAGTCATTGACCTCTAGCCTAGGGTGACTTTTAACCCTGTTAGTGTTGGCTGTGTTAGAGGAACACCCAGTGTGCATGGAGTGGGCTCTTTCAACCAAATCCATATATGTGCAGCTTGTTGTCATGTGAAAGGCCCTGGGATAGAAATTAAGAGGTCCCTAATCTCCCATTGACTTGCTCTGTGCTCCTGGGCAAGTCATGTATTCCCTTTGTTTTCCCATCCATAATGTTAGGAGAATGGATGTTGGACTACCGCTAAGATTCCCTCCAGTTCTGAAAGGTCAGTGAGGATGGAAACGATGTCTGATGGTACTCCTGGTGGATTGTATCGCCTTCATGTCACTAAGACTAAGGGATAGTGAGCTCCTTAATGGCAGAGTGGTTTTATAGCTGTCATAACACTCATCATATTTTGAACACATTGGCCAAATTAAACGAAGACCTAGGCTGTCCCATTTTTTGTTGTTTTGCATGCATTCTTCTCCGATGATATCTACATGCCCTTTCCTTGGATGGCTGTCTTCATCCTTGTATCTCCTATCAAGTTTTCGTATGAGAATGTTTTAGCATATGCTCCAAATCTTTGTAGACCCCATTTACCTACTTTCCACTTACCCACTTTCCCCCTGCTTCATTTTTGCCCAGCTCTTTCGATTATTCATTCGCTGCTTCCACAGGATTCTACTGCATGCTAGACTAGGTGTCTGCAAACTTTTTGCATAAGGAGCCAAGTAGTAAATATTTTAGGCTCTGCGGGCCTTACAGTATCTGTTGCAACTCTTCAACTCTGCTGTTATAGTGAGATGGCAGTCATAGATAATACATAAATGGCTGAGTGTGGCTGTATGCCAATAAAGGTTTATATATGAATGCTGAAACTGGAAGTTCATATAATTTTCACAGATCATAAAATATTACCCTTCCTTTGATTTTTCTCCCCAGCCATTTAAAATTGGGAACAACATTCTAAGCTCTTGGGTTGTATAAAAGTGAGCCGCTGACTGGACTCGGTTGGCAGTATACCATCCTCTGGGCTGCCCAAGCCAGTTGCTGTTGAGTTGATGCCAATTCACAGCAACCTTATTGTCTCAGGATAGATCAATGGATGGTTTTTCAAAAGCATATTCCAGACCTTTCTTCTGAGGTACTTCTGGATGGGTTTGAACCACCAACTTGTCCATTAGCACCTGATTGTGTTAACCATTTGCACCACCTAGGGAAACCTATTCCTGAGGCCCATCAATTACATATCTATTGCCTTATGCAAATGCTTTATAAATGATTTTTTAAAATAAAGGGGAATAAGTAAGCATCCACCCTATCTTCATAATTACTATATAATTATCTTTATGGATGCTACACTTTGGGTGACTTGCAGAAATACCGTGATTAACATGATTCTAAGCTCATGTGTTTACCATCTATGGTTATTGTTGTTACATACCTGCAGGGACTGTGAATTATTTAATGTGACTCTTCTAGTCAAAGTCTCTAACTCCCACCAAAGACCCCTTTCTTTCATGGATCTGGTAAGAAGGTGGGGAAGATACTGATAGGATTCTCCTGTGAGTAATTGTGAACAGGATTCCCTGGATTGCCATCCTGCTGTGTATAATATGAGCCCTCTGAGAAGCAGGAGGAGGGATCTCATTTCCAGCAAGAGCTAGGAGCGAACCTGTCTAGCAAACCTCCTGGATCCAGAGGACAGCTAGGATATCAGAGGTGCAGCAGCAGAACTGGGAGCCAGGGCCTGGGACACGGTGGTGGGCTTCCCAATATCCAGGGCAAGGAGAGTTGAATGCTTTTGTGCAGGAGGCTGGCTTTGGGAGCTGGAACTTAATGCTGTCTGGCTGATGTTTATAGCAGAGGGGCATGCTCCTTTGGCATTTATTAACAAACTTGAAATAAGGTTGTGACATGTCCTGATAAACAACTCAGCTCTGAGCACTTCTCTCAGAGTGTGGCAACTTGTGAACTTCCTAAATAAACCCATTAATCATGAATTTTGTCTGTGAGTTCCGTGTAGCCATGGCAGTGGATATTAGTAGAGAGGTAAAATAAAGAACGTTAATTAAGACACTATAGTGCCATCGAGTTGGTCCAACTCACAGTGACTGTGCTTACAACAGAACGAAACACTGCCCGGTCCTTACCATCCTCACATTCGTTCTCTCGTTTGAGCCCACTGTGCAGCAGGGTGTCAGTTCAGCTCCCTGATGGGTCTTCCTTTGTTGGTGTTGCCTTTCTACTTTATCAAGCATGATGTCCTTCTCCAGGGACTGGTCTCTCCTGACAGCATGGCTCCTGACAAAGCCTTACCACCCTCATGTTTAAGGAGGATTCTCTTGGTTCTTTTGGCAGGGTCCATGGTGCTTTCAATATTTCTCTCCAGCACCATGATTCAAGTGCATCAACTCATCTTTGAGCTTCCTTAGCCAATGTCCAACTTTCGCAAGCATAGGAGGAGATTAAAAATACTATGGCTTATAAGCTGATGATCTGAAATGTAAACTCCTCACTCAATTGATGTTTGTTTGTTTGTTTTTAAGAAGAAAATACCATAGCTTGGGTCAGGTAAACCATAGTCCTCAACATGACATCCATTGATGGTAGAGATAGTTATTAAATAAATAATCTGAAAATGTTATACGATTTGCTTAGGAGGGAAACTAAAGGGTCTGATTAGGAATTATAACAGGAAAATATCCTTTTCCTTTAAGTGGGACATCACCAGGTGAAGTGGAAGCAGAGTTGTATGGATGAATGGTATTTGGCCAGCCAGAGAGTAGATAAAGAAATGAACGTGGAGCTGAAAGGGGAAACCAAACCGCTGTGAAATGGGACCCAAAAATAATTCATGGTGGTGGTTGACCTCCACGATGAACGCATATAGTGTCACTGAAATGGTCATGTGAAAATGACTGAAGTGAGATGTTTGCTATCTGCACGCGCACACACACACACACACACACACACACACACACAGCCATAATAAAGCAAAGCAGGACCAGAAGTCTGCCACCCTTGGATTTGGATTCAGTTGTGTTACCACCTCATCATGTCACCCCAAACAGATCGCTGGACCTTTGCTATGTTAAAAAGCATGCCGTGGCTTTGGACATGCAGCGTGTGCCAAGTGTTACAGGAGTCACGGGACCACCTCATAGTTGTTTCAAGGCTGGTCATCCAAGGATCTGTTGTACATATTGAGATTTGGTGCAATGATTTGTTGCATAATGTTGATGTAGTTGGCACTGAGTTGACCCTCACCCATGAAGGAGACGTTATCTATGTGTATGTATGTTATGTCATGAAACAGCATCCAGATCTGTGCCATCTTCATGATCATTAAGGTATCTGAATCCATTGTTGTGGCTTCTGTGTAGTCAGTGTCTTGCTATCCAGGGGCCTCATCCCACACTATATTAGATAAGAGTCTATCATGATCCTTTGGCTTTTTATTGACCAATTTTTAGGAGTAAATCACCACGTGTTTCTTTCTACTCTGTTATTCTGAAAGCTCTGCTAAATTCTGTCCACCATGGGTGACCCTACTTGTGTTTGAAATCCTACTTGTATCCCAACATCATAGCAACATTCAAACCACCACAACGCGACAAACTGACAGGGGATGATTCTTCAATAATAGGGCTCCCCAAAAACAGGACTAGAGGGTGCCAGGGGTCCTCCCCAAGCTTAGCCCTCTGTGATTCTGTGATCAGAGGTTCTTCTCTATACCTGAGCCTGTCAGATCTCCAGTCTCCAGCAAGGAAACGACTCAAGGTTGAGGTTCCTGAGTACAGTGAATCCCGGACCTGACCATCCATACTTTCTCTGCAATGAGGATTACAGACAATCAAGTCGTTTTCTTCAACAAAATGATAAACCTTACACTCCTGGAAAAGTCAAGAAGAATACAATTGATTCAAAGGTTCTTTGGCTTTCTATTACCTCGGTGACACCACAGGGATTTAGTGACATCTTACAGTGAGATGCTTCCACCCTCTGAGGACTCTGAGCTCAGTCAGCTCCCCGGCTCCCTCCCGGCTCCAGTTATCCTTGCTCTTTCAGCATCCCTTCCTGCCAGCACCTGAGCATACCTGGGGTAGAACTTCTCTCTCCTCTTCAGCCCCGATAGGCCAGTCAAACATCAGTCTGGTAACAGAGATCCAGACACACGATGTCAGGGCAAAACTCTGGGTGCCCTGAATTTAGTTTTCCATGGGATTTCCGACGCCCCCAAACTGGCTTCTCTCCCCTGCACGTGCTCTGGGTCCCACTCATGTGGCCTTGCTGCCGGTTTATCCTTCAGGAAGTCACTTCCCACAGCTCAGCTCCTTTCATTCCTTGGAACACTCAGAGAAGCTGAATGAGCCCTGCAATTCTGAGCGTCATCAAGAGATGACTCTCAGACTCGACACCAGCTGACCTGTGACCTTGGGGTGTGATAAATGGACCTGTGATGATAAATGGAGTTGTTGGCATCCAGGCTTTGGCTGCAGTGCCTTTGCCCCGCAGTTGCTCAGCTCCTACTATGCACCATGCCAGTTAACAAAGTATTCTTGTCCATAATCTTGCATTTATACTTGGGGTACGATTATCCCATGTGATGCGTGAGTAAACGGAGGCACTAGGACCAAGTTAATAAGTAGTGGTGGAGTCTGACTCAGGGTCCCAAGTCTTGATTAAACAGTAAACCATTGTTTGGAATGTGCTGAGAATCATTCTGGGGATTTGTGGCAACACCAGCCTCCCACGCTCTGGTCCCCACTGACGTTTCTGTATTATTTGGAGAAGCCATTTGCCAAGCTCTGAATTGGCTGGTTTGAGGCTGTTTTAACAAGGGGTATGGAGAGAGAAAATGCCTCTGCAGCTAGACAGAGGTGTGCACAAATGCAATTCTAGTTATTTTGTGCTTTTTTATAGTGAATTCTGGTTGCAGGTGAGTAACTTCTGAGAAACAATAAAATGAGTCAGGACCAATTCTTAAATCTTTAAATAAACCTAGTTTGTCTTGAACTAACCTTTAACTAAATCTAATTAGTTACTTTGCCACCAAAGTAAGTTACTTAGTAGACTACTAACTGCAAAGTCAGCAGTTCAAGTCCACCACTCATTCCATGGGAGAAAGATGAGGCTCTCTGCTCTCGTAAAGATTTACAGCCTCAGAAATTCAAAGGGGTAGTTCTACTCTATCCTATAGAGCCGCTGTGAGTTGAAATCAACTGGATGACAGTGAGTTAAACTTGTTAAACTCAGGAGCCATGGTGGTGTTGTAGTTTAATGTTGGGCTGTGATCCTCGGGGTCAGCAGTTTGAACCAACCACCAGCAGTCCCACGGAAGAAAGACTGGGCTTTCTACACTGGTAAAACGTTTCAGTCTTAGAAACCCACAGAGGTGTCACTGTGGGTCAGCATTAATTGACTCGATGGCAGTGAGTTTTGTTTGAGAGAGCTACTTAGCCCTCTAAGTTAAATTCTTCAAGTTAACCATCCTATTTCCAAATAGCCTGAGTTTCTTCCTTCCTGTTCCCCACCCTCTCTCCACCACCCTCTCTCTCCTCTCTGCTCTATCTGCACCTACTCCTCCCTTATCATTCTGATTCTTTCATTACCTGACCTTTTGTGTGTCAAGGGTAGAAGTCCAGGATAGGTAAGTTGATTAGGGACAGTAATTGGCTTGATGCCTCCTTGGGGGTATGGCAGGGAGTTTGGGGGAAATGGGAAGCTAATAACAATGAATACAAGATTGAAGAAAATGTGCTCCACCCCCCAGTGTCATGATCTGAATTCTACCTTGCAAGTCTGGCTAGACCAGAGGGTGTACACTGGTACACGTAGGAACTGGAAACACAGGGAATCCAGGGCGGATGATCCCACCAGGACCAGTGGTGTGAATGGCAATACTGGGAGCATAGAGGGAGAGTGGATTGGAAAGGGGGAACCAATTACAAGGATCTACATGTGACCTCCTCCCTGGGGGACGGACAACCGAAAAGTGGGTGAAGGTAGACGTCGGACAGGGCAAGATATGACAAAATACCAATTTATAAATTATCAAGGGTTCATGAGGGAGGGGGTAGTGGGGAGGGAGGGGAAAAAAGAGGACCTAGTGCCAGGGGCTTAAGTGGAGAGCGAATGTTTTGAAAATGTTGAGTGCAAAAAAAAAAAAAAATTGAAAAAAAAAAGAAAATGTTGAGTGCAATGAATGTCCAAATGTGCTTTACACAATTGATGTATGTATGGATTGTGATAAGAGTTGTATGAGCCCCTAATAAAATGATTTAAAAAGCAAACAAACAAACAAAAGATTGAAGAAAATGTTCTAAATCCGATGGTGGTGGTGGTGCTACAACTCTTCTTGATGTGATTGAACTATTGGATTATGTGGTATGTCAATTATATGGGGGGGGCGGGTAATCTGCTTGCATCGCTTTAAAGTCTTTGAACCCTCTCCTCCCCTCCAGTCTTGGAAGCAATAACGTTAAAACAAAAAATTAAACTCACTGCCATTGCGTCAATTCTGACTCCTAGTGACCCTCTAGGACAAGTAGAGTGGTCCTCTGTGTGCTTCCAAGATGGTAACTCTTTGCGGGAAAGAAAGCTCCATCTAGATCTCCCTCGGAGCAACTGGTGGTTTTGAACTGGTTTGGTTTTTAGCCACCCAACTCATAACCCACCACACCACCATGGTCTCTGGACTAGGAGCCATTAACCTGAAAGTCTGCCTCCCCAGACCGGGGACTGCCCTACGCCGAGAACACAGCTGTGGCTTTAGACCTTGAGTCTGTGAGAATGTGACAGAAGAGAGCAGACAGGACACATAGTGGGCACTTCACCACAGACCCCGAGACTCACCTTTTACACGCTCGGAGGTGCTGGGGCCACCAGACAACAGTCTTGGGTGGGTAGGCAGGCGTGTCTGTGGAGATCAAGCTGCACATGGGTTAGGGTAAGGCAAACACTGACCCGATCAGCTCTACCGGTGGTCTGAAATAGCACAGGCTAACCCGCCTGCTACACGGAGGGTGAAAGTCTTGGCAGCATGGAACTGGGACTGCAGGGGAAGGGATGGCCACAGGGAATGAGGGCCTCCCAAATGGCTTCTGTAGCCTGGGGAATATTTGGTAACCTAAATTTTGCATGGCTGCCCATTTTCTCTTCAGGACCTGGTCTTGGGAACCTAACCACAGTCTTTACAGTGAGAAGTGGGTGAATAGTTTACATTTTGCATCAATTTGGTTCCTGACTACCCCAGATCTTAACGTGCCCCCAGCACTTTCTTTTGAGTTATCTCAGTGAGCCCAGCCAGTTGTCATCCCGTCCCTTCCGACTCCTGAGACCCCATGTGTGTCAGAGAAGAACTGTGTTCCATCAGGGTATTAGTGGATGATCTGGGGGGAGTAGATCACTAGGCTTTTCTTCAACACACCTCTGGGTAGACGTGAACCTCCAACTTTTCATTTAGTAGCTGACCCATAGTAACCCTATAGGACACAGTAGAATTGCCCCTGAGGCTTTCTGAGACTGTAAATCTGTACCGAAGTAGAAAGCCTCATCTTTCTCTTGCAGAGTGGCTGGCAATTTCAAACTGTTGTCCTTGCAGTTAGGAGAGCAACTCATAAGCCACTATGCCAGTGGTTCTCAACCTGTGGGTCACGACCCCTTAGGGGTTTGAAAGACCCTTTCACAGGGGTCGCCGGAATCGTAACAGTAGCAAAATTACAGTTATGAAGTAGCAACAAACATAATTTTATGATTGGAGGGTCACCGCAACATGAGGAACTGTATTAAAGGGTTCGGCATTAGGAAGGTTGAGAACCACTGCACTATGCCATCAGAGCTATCAGTTTCTTAATCTGCAACAGGCGTGTTTGAGGTACAGTCTGGCTCACATAGTGAGTTTTCAGACTCAGATCTTTCTGATGTGGTCTAGGTAGTATGGTGTACACCTTGAGAAGACAAAATCTAAAGTCCAGGTTGAGTATAATATGGGAACTGGATCACCAAGGATTAGAAATAAAATTAGTAAAATAGGCACAATAAGCCATCTAGTACAGGGCAGATTCTCCCATTTGGCAGCCCTTACAAGCAATGCCAAGTGTTTGCCCCAAGGGCAAACTGCCCACCCTCCTCTACCCATCAGCAGAAGTGAGATTATCTTCTTTGAAACAGATATATCCCCCTTCACCTTGCCCATCAATCTCCACCTATGTGTACTGAACACCTATGTAAGAGTCTCCACCCAATAAGAGTATTCACTCAATAAACTAGCGCACTGCCACGTGGCATGGATTATCCAGTCCCTTCCCACGCCCTTCCTAATGAGAAACCACCCCCTGCTCAAGCAAGGCCTCTCCTGGAGCAGAGGTCTTTATGACGTACAAATTATGTAGTGACAATTGAGCTATAAGCATGACACAGTTATACCCTCCTACTTCCTGGGAGGCTGCATTGAACAATTGCCTGAATGCCACTGCCTGTTTTTTTGTTCTACCGTTATCCTTATAGCATTGGCATCATACTATATTTGGCTTTTTTTGTAATTGACTAACTTCAGCTAGCATAGTATTTTCCAGGTCCAACCACTTCATAAGTTGCTTCCTGGCTTCATCAGTGTATTCCATTATATATATATATATATATATATACACCGGCATTTCTTTATCCATTCTTTTACTGATGGACCTTAGGGCTGTTTCCGACTTCTTGCCACTGTGACCCGTGCCACCACGAGCATGGCAGTGCATATGTCTGTTTATGTTACCCCTCTTAGTTCTTTAAGGTGCATATTCAGCAGAGCTAGGACTGGATCTTATGGGATTTCCATTCCCAGTCTTGTCAGGTAGCACCATATTGCTTTCTACAATGGTTTACCATGTTTACAGATGCACCTAGTGTATGAGTTCTAGTCTTACTGAACCTCTCTCGCATTTGTTGTTTTCTGGTGTGGGTTGTTTTTGTTTTTAATTGGCTGTCATTGTCCATTAAGGTAAATGAGGGCTCATTGTTGTTTTGATTAGCATCTCTTGAATAGATAATGGCCCTGAGCATTTTTTCATGTATTAGTCTTTAGAAAATCTTTTTGGCAGAATTGCTTGTTCACGTCCTTTGCCTACTTTTTGATTGGATCATTGTTTTTATGGTTTTTCCTAGTCGAGGTCCCGATTTTAAAGATTAGTCTTTGGTCCTTGTGTCTTGCTGAAGATCTTTTCCTCATCTGTGAACTCCTTTTTTATTCTTTTGGCGAAATCTTTTGATAAACATGAGTGTCTTACTTTTAGTAGGTCCCAGTCATCTATTTTGTTTTCTCTTGTGTGTGTCCTTCATTAGGTTGAGTAGCATGTCTATGCCCTGCACGAGGGCCCTAAAGTTTGCTCCTGTTTTCTCACTGATGATCTTTAAGTCTTTGATTCATCTTGAAGACTTCTT